AAAGAGCTTCACAGACAAGAAAAAGCTAAAGGAGTTCATCACCACCAGACCAGCACTACAGGAAATGTTGAATGGTCTTTTTAAAGAAGAAGCTAATGAATAAAAGAATCTGATGAACGAAATAGATCCAGAGACATTGATGTATGCAACAGATGATCATATTTCAGAGGAAAGAGGGAAGGGGGATGGAGGGTGGGAAGAGATTGACCAAAGAAGTTATATGCATATATTCATAACCCATGGACACAGACAATAACAGGGTGAAGGCCTAGGGGAAGTGTGGGAGCGAGGTGGAGGGGGTCAATTGGGGGGAAAAGTGGTACGCCTGTAATACTTTCAACAATAATGATAAGTTAAAAAATGAAACAAACAAAAACAAACAAAAAAACAAAAAAACAAAAAAAAGAGATTGTAATATAATGGTGGTCCTGAAAAGGATGAATTCTTTTAAGAAAAGGTTCTACTTTCATGTAAAAGTTTCTGATACTAAAGAGTGTGAAAGAATGGACCCTGGCTGGATAGGTCAGTTGGTTAGAGTGTCCTCCTGATATGCCAAAATTGCAGGTTCGATCTCCAGTCAGGGCACATACAAAAATCAACCAATGAATGTATAAATAAGTGGAACAACAAATCAATGTTTCTCTCTCTAAAATTAACAAATTAAAAAAAAAGAGTGTGAAAAATCAATGACAATATGTGGTATATATAACTGTTAAATGTTTTCCAAAGGTTTGCATGAAACATCAGCTGGGTTTTGATGCTTATTGGTTGTTTAAAATGTTTATTCATGTTGAACAATGTTTATTTATTGAAAGTACCATCTATTTAAATCAAATTATCTCTATAACTGAATATTTATACAGATGCTTTATTGAATATTCCTAAACATTTGCCCAAACCACAATTTATTCAGTTATGTTTACTTCTTTAGAGTAAAAAATTGCTNATAAAAAAATAAGTGCTTGATTTACTTTATCATTTTTTACATAGTTTGAAGAGAATATTCTTTTTTTATTATTAATCCTCACTAGAGGATATTTTTTTCCCATTGATTTTAGAGAGAATGAAGGGGAAAGAAGGAGAGAGAGAGAGAGAGAATGAGAGCGGAACATTGATGTGAGAGAAACACATCAATTTGTTGCCTGCCGCTTGAGCCTGACTGGGCCAGGGGTCCAAACTGCAACCCAGGTATGTGCTCTTGACTGGAAATCAAACCTGAGAGCCTTTGGTGCATGAGTGATGCTCTAACCACTGAGCAACACCAGCCAGGGCAAAGAGAATATTCTTAATCAGATTAAAAGATAGCTACAAAAAATGTTCAGCAAAAACCACATTTAATGGTAAGATATTGAAAGGTTTTCTTTTGAGTTTGGAACCATGTAAGGATACCACTATTACCACTTCTATTTTCCATTGTGTGGAATGTCTCAGCCACAAAAATAGGGCAAGAAAGAAAAGAGAAGTTATGTGAATTAAAAATAAAAAAATAAAACTAATTTTTTACAAATGATACAAATGTGTACAGAAAAAATCCAAAATTATTTATAGATAAATGCCTGCAGTTTATAAATGAGTTTAGCAATGTTGCAAATATAAGGTTAATATATAAAATTTAATTGTACTCCTATATATCAGTAATAAACAGAACCTAAAAAAAAAAATATTTAAAGATAACATTGTGGATAATATCCCAAAATACCCAATTTTCAAATGCCAAGTAATACATTATGAAGAATGTACAAGTCCTCTTATGCAAAAAAAAAATTATAAAACACCACTTAGAGAAATTAAAGATCTAAATAAAGAAAAGTCTATGTCACTCTTTGGAAAGACTTAGCACTATAAATATAACGTATGGTCTCCTCTAACTGATCAATGCAATTCTAATGAAAATTCCAGCTGGATTCTTAAGTGGAACTTGACAAACTGAATTGAAAATATGTATGAAAGAAGGTGAAGGAATTAACCAAAAAACATACATAACACATAGACACAGACAACAGGATGGTGATGGCCGCGGAAAGGGGTTGGGAGCAGGTGGAGGTGGGCAAAGGGGCCGGGGCAATGGGCATGGAAAGAGGCTTTGCTTGGGGCAGCGGATGCATGATGCAGCGTGCGGATGTTTTTTATTGAGCTGTATACTTGAAACCTGTATGGCTTTGTGAACCAATGTCACCCCAATAAATTCAATTAAAAAATTAAACAGTAAAAAAATACAAAAGACCAAAAATGGCCAAGAACTCTTGAAGAAGGACAGGAACAAGTGGGGAAACTAATCTTACCAGATATCAAACTTATAATAAATTTGTAATCACAGATTTGTAAAGATGGCGTAGTACTTGTGCAAATATAAACACGTAGACCAATGGAGCAGAACAGAGAACCTCAGAATAGATCCACACATATGTGGCCCTTGATGTATGATGAAGGTGGCACTGCAGTGGGCAAGGGCAATGTATTCAATAAATGGTCAATAGGTTATCTATATGGGAAAAAAGTTGACTCATCAAGCATCATACTCCAAAAATCATTTTCAGGTACATAACAGATATAAATGAGAAAGATAAACCATACACTTTTAAGAAGATGATAGAATATCTTCATTACCTGGAAGTAGAGAAATTTTTCTCAAACAGAACATAAAAAGTGCTGTCTTTAAAGAAAGAGATTACTAAGTTGTTCTACACTGAAAGAAAGAAGGAAGGAAGGAAGGAAGGAAGGAAGGAAGGAAGGAAGGAAGGAAGGAAGGAAGGAAGGAAGGAAAGAAAGAAAGAAAGAAAGAAAGAAAGAAAGAAAGAAAGAAAGAAAGAAAGAAAGAAAGAAAGAAAGAAAGAAAGAAAGAAATTGTCCTTATTAAAAGGTATCTCTGAGAAATTGCAAAAGCAAGCCACAGAATGGGTGAAGGTATTTGCTAATATATAACTGCCAAAAAGGTAAAAATATTTAAGAGCTTATACTAATCTATAAGAAAAGCCCAAAACTCAAAAGAAAATGGACTAGAGATTTAATAGGCACTTTAAGAAAGAAGAAATTATTAATATGGTCAATAAACATATGGAAAATTGTTGAACTTCCTTAATAATTAGGGGAATACAAAATAAAACTATAAAAAGCCACATCAACAGAATGACTAAAATTTAAAAGACTAATAATACTAAGTTTTGATTAGAATCTGTAGTTACTAAAACTCATATGCATCTGATAGAAAAGTAAATTGTTACACCCACTTTGAAAAACAGTTTAGCCTAGTGAATTTGAGGATATGCATACTCTATGATTCAGTAATTCTATTTCTAGGTATATACCCTACAAAAATATGTGCACGTCTACCAAGAGAGAGATGTACAATTAATGTTCATAGTGCAAGTTTTATAATAGCCTCAAGTTGGAAATAATCCAGCTGTCCATCAATAGTCAACTGGATAAATAAACTCTAGTATAGTCATACATTGACATCTATAAAACAAGGAAACTGAATGTACTATATCTAAACTCAAAGACATGTATGAATATCATAAAGGTAATATTGAGCAAAAGAAATCAGACACAAGAGGAAAAATACTGTAGGATTCCATTTTTATAAAGTCAAGAAAAAAGAGAGAAAGCTAAATTATATTTTTAGAAGTCAGGATAGTGGTATCTTAGGGGAGGAATGAGAGGCTAGTGATTGGGAAGGGCACAAGGAGGTCTGGGGGTTGCTGGCAATTTTCTGTTTCTTTACTGAGTAATAGTTTTACTGTATTAGGAGACTCAACACTGCAAGCTGTAATTTCTCCTCAAATAGGTCTGTAGATTCAATGCAATCCTACTAGGATTTTTGTGTGTGTGTGATACTGGAGAAGCTGATTCTAAAATACATATGAAAGTACAAAGTGTCAAGAACTGTCAAAAACTCTTAAAGAAAAACAAGGTAGGAAGATTTGCTTTACTAGCTGTTAAGATGGGGTAATTCATTGAGCTGACGCATATGTTGTGCACTTTTGGTATATATGTCATACTTTACAGTGAAGAGAGGGGTGCTTACTGCATGGAATGGGTAGGGAAGGCGCTATGATAAAGCTGAACCTGGTTACCTAAATGTGTAAATGCAAGGGTGGAGGCTGCCCTTGGGACTCTAATATATTTAAATGGAACTTGGTTCTCAGTGGCTGTCATTGCCTGTGTAATAACCCTCCAGGCCACTAGAGGACAGCAGAAATAAGAGCTTTGTCCAAAAGTTCATGTCTTATAAAATTTCCCAATGTGCTAACCAAAGCTCTCTTTACCTTTACATCCTTTATTCCAGAACATGCTTTATCATACCCTCTGAATGGCCGGATTCTGGCCTATCGCCTAAAATTGTCTTCATGTCTGAAAAACTATATCAGCATAACTAATCATAATCCCTTTAGCCTCTCTCTTAACACCTGCTCGACTTCATCATAACTCTAGTTTCCTTTAGCCCTCTCTGCTGTCTCAGTGCAACCACCGCAGTTTTGCTTTCTTTCATTTTCATCCTACGTTATCATCTTCCATCCCTTCAACTGCTCTCTATCCAGAATTCTCAAGATCCTCCTTCCTTGTCTTATTGGCACTTTGCAAACTTCTAAACTTGGACCAGATCAACATGTCACACAATAGCTTTTATAAACCTTTCCCCTCTCTCCTCAAACCTGCGCCTTTTTCCCTAGAGAAGGAGAGAGTTTTATAACATGGAACTGTAGACACTTAGAATGCCAGAGCTGGGAGGAGTCACATATCATGTTTTTCTAACTTCCTTTTTTTTTTCCCCCCTATGAATAAACAGATGACCAGAAGATTACCCAGTGTTTTCTGTTATTTCACTAACAAATAGTCCCATCTGACACTGACTCTTAATATCCAGGGCTTTTGTTCTTGACTTCTGCTCCCCTAACTTACCCTGCTTCAGAACCCACGTAGGACTGTGAATGTCAGAAACGCATGGTGAACTGGCAGGAATCTATAGGAAACACCCCCCAAAAACAAAGTATAGAACTTACACCTGATTTCTGGACTTGGGCATAGATTGTAAGGCTTTTTCCTTCCACTGTTGGCTGGTAATGGTCTGATTTACCTGGAGAAAAGAAACCACAAAGTTATCTCTTTCTGGTCCCCAGCATGAACTCTCTGCTCAGACCTGTTTGGTTCTCTAGACCTGTTTGCGTACCGACCTTCCCCAAGAGTACCATAGGAACAAAGCACTGAGTCCCCCCTACCCCCTACACATTTGTCATATGACATTAGGTTAGTTACTTGAACTCCCTGGGCCTATTTTCCTATCTGTGAAATGGGTTGAAATACCTTCCTCACGGGGCTGTTGTGATGATTACATGAGACATTACTTGTAAAGTGTTTACAATAGTGCCTGGCACATAGTAAATACCCAATACATGTTAAGCGTAATCAATTATTTTAATCTTTATTTTTTGATGTGCATATCTGGTCTTTTAATAGGATTCTAAGTTTTTGAAGGGCAGGGCAAGTTATTTATACCCCTTTTGTATTCTTCATCTCATAACCGTTTGCTCACTCACAGCTTTCTCGCCCCTGTTTCACTGGGACTTGATGTGTATGTGAAGGGATGAGGGAGCATAAGAAGGGTAATCCACCCGAGACTACTTGCAAAATAAAACTACAGTGTTACTGTATTGCCCACCAACAGGAAATTGGGTTCAGAGCCTAGAGTCTCTGGAAAGCAGTTAGTTGCAAAGCATTTTAATTTTTAACCAATTTTATAATTTTTTAAATTATAGAAATAATTCACTCTTGTTACAAAATTAAAAATTACATAGCGTAAAAAGTATGGTCTTCTCCCCCATTAGCCTACGCAATGTCAGTTCAGAAGTAATCGCTTTGAGCAGTTTGATTTCTACCCCTCCAGCCCAGCTCTGTGCAATAGAACTTTCTGCGATGCTGAAAATGTTCTATGTCTGCAGCCTGATACCGTAGCCACGAACCACAGGTGGCTACTGAGCACTCGAACTGTGACTAGTGCAACCGAGGGACTGAATTATAAATTTAACTTTATTCTAATTAATTTAAAATTAAAAAGCCACATCTGGCTAGTGACTATCATCTGAGACAGTGCAGTCCTGGACATTCGCTGGATTTAGACAGATATATTTTTATGCAAATGGGGTCATTCCAGACACACTTCTCTAACTCGACCTTTTCACTTACAATGTGTTAAGGACATTTCCCACATGCCTCTTTCTTTCTGCTGTTTCATGGTATTCTTTAAATGCACCATGTAGTGGTGAGAGGGATGAAGGGAAAGTAACATACTAAAACACGGAGGTCTGTTTGGGGGCTATTACAAAGTCCAGATAGAGGCGATGGAGACCTGACCTAGAGGAAATGACACAAAATCTTTAGGGTACACTTATTTTAACACCAATGAATTTATTCCCTTAAAAAGCTAGGAGCAGGTCTCTGATGGAATTCCACTTAGGAGAGGTATATTTTTCTCTGGAAGCGAAAGTGGGTGTGATCCTTGGGGAGGAACTGATGGGCAGCCACTGGGGAAGCTCAAAGAATTCAAAGAATGTCAATGTATGATTTTCTCGTGTGAGTGTGGGCATGGAGCGCTTGGTGGTTCCAGCTTCACTGTTTGGTCAGGGTTGATGCTGGCTGAAGAGTGTGTGTGTGCAGAACAGAGCGTAGGTGTTGAGGTGACCAGAGGAAGTAACAAAAGAGGTGCAAGTTAGTTTTCTGAAATATATCCTTTTAGCTCAAATCCATGAGTGTGTGTAAAGTTAGAAGTACCCGCCCAGCACTGTCCTAGGTGCTGTAGGAGAACAGACAAAAAACAGACAAAAAACAGACCTCAGTTTTTAAGGACTTTCAGTTCTACAGGTCAGCTCAGGCTGAAATTTAGAATTGTGGGACAGTCCTAAATGGTCAGATGGAAAAAGTAAGGTTGAATGTTACTTCTCAAAAAGACCACTGGGTCAAGATCATTTCGTCTCATATTTTGTTCCCAGTGCAAGAACATGTTTTCGGAGCCAGCTCAAAGTCAACGAAGCCTTCAGGTCTAAGGAAAAAGGCCTGACTTACTGTCTACATCCTAGCCCTCCTTAGCTGTGCGGCATTGAACGAAACATGTTATCTAAATGGGCCTCTTCTGTCACCATGCCGGAAGGTGAAGAGGTAGACTGTCTAATGTCCCTTTAAGATCTCACCTGAAGAAAAGCTACCATGACTTCAAGTACTTTAAATCTTGAAAACTAGGCACTGTTCCCAGATGCTCCCTGTGCTGCCCTCTGCTGGCCATAAGACTTAAACATAGATGTGTTAACTCACAAAGAGATTTGTCCATGTATGTGTGTATGCATGTATGTGTGTATGTATGTATCTACCTACCATCTATCCACGGAAGCCACTGTATCCTGTGATTCCTACGTATGAACTCACAGACCCCCACAACAGTACCATGAAGTACATAATATTGTCCTTATTCTGCATAGGAGAGGTTAGATCATTTGTTTGGTCAGTGGCAAAGTCTGCATTTGAATGTAAGTTTGTTTCATGTCAAAGGCCATGTCCTTAATCAGTGTATTCTGGATATGAAACAGCCAGAGCCCAGCTGCATTCTGGGGTGGCACCATCAGGAACTGCCAACAGAACCTCTTGAGCAGAGTCTTTTGGAGGGTCCAGCAATTAAGAACAGGTTTTCCCACAGGTTTGAGGCAGGGTTTTTGTGTTTCTGGCGACTGGGTATGAGGATGGATGTGTGTTGGGGGGGTGGAGGGAGCTTGGAAGCACGTGAGCAGAACACAGCTAAGGAAAGGACGTGGGTGAGGCCCCAGCCCCTTCACTAACTAGGTTGGCCTGGGTGTGCCCCTCTGTTCTCTCGGCCGGCCGGGGTCTCACTGTTTCCGTATTGTCCAAGCCAAAGGGGGCTGCCCAGCCCCATTCCCTTGGGCTGCCCCCCAGATTTCCACCTGAACCACCCCTCCCCCACCTCCTCCTGCGCTAACCTAGATGGAGGAAATGAGACAAAAGTAGGCGGCTGCGCTGTGATCTAGATTGTGTTATATAAGCAAAATCAACACCGGAGTGCTGAGGTAAGGGCTTTTCCGAGGTTACATGTGGACAACACAGATCCACTTGAGCATGAGATCAGCTGTCAGCTGGATGGCATGAAGATAAGTTCTCCCCTCACCATGGGAAAGCCAGCGGGGTGGGGTAGGGGTTGGGGGGGGGAGAGATCTGTCCTGGTCTTGGGGCAGGGCCTCTGCCTCCGGTGTGCGTGGGTGAGGGAAGTGTGGTGGAGGGGAGCACACTGCCTTGAGACACTGAATCATAGGACAGTTTGGAGGACAAGACAGGAGAAACAACTGCTAGGCACGTAAACTGCAAGGGAATAATTGCCCTTAATGGTTTTAGTGTACCATGGGTGACTATTTTTCAGTTTGGCTTTAAGCAACTTCACAAATTGCACACTTTCTCAAGGTGAGTGGGAATTTGTGCTAAAATCTTAGTAAAGAGGGTTCCCTCTGCTATATTCTGATGACCTGGGGGCCTTCCCAGTGGAATGCACCCTGGTAGTTGGGAGACATCGTTACAGTTCTCATTTCCTCATCGACCAGCTGGGTGACCTTGGGCAAGTCACTTAGCCTCTCTGTGCCTCTGTTAGCTCATTGCTAAGTCACATAGAAACAACTACCCTACTTCTCTCAGAGGAATGTCATAAGAATAAAGAGAAATTATAGAAAGATTTACCCTTGAGCGAAAACATCTTATTATAATGTCCTTTCATTGGTCAGGAATTACAACTTTTTTGGAATGAAATCCAAGAGTCCTCTGAATTCTGCTCCTAGTGATACTGTTAAACCTCTTATCTGGGCCCCTTTAGCAGCATTTGTCATATTGGATTTAAAATAAGTGTGCATAATGTCTCTCATGTTAGATACCTATGGCTCATCTCTCTTTTTATCCCCATGGTCTAGTATAGGGGGTCAAGACGGTTTGAATTAGACTGAACAGAACAAGGTCCAGGATATGTTTGTTCAGTGTTTTTGCAGAGGTTCTCCCTGAACGCTAAAGGGAAGAAAGCAAGTCGGTGTTTGCGGTGAGAGGTCCCCTGCTCACCACAGAGACTCTGATAAGCATCTCTTTATTGTTAGACACCTACCTTTTGTTCTCAACAGTAGCGTTACCACAAGGAGAATCATGACACCAACGATGCCCAGTAAGCACAGCCCAGCATACAGTACCCATTGTCTTGATTCTGAAAAAAAGTCAAAGGGCATCTCAAATGTACTGTGAGTGTCAAAACATCCTACAGAGCAGTGGGGAGGGTTAGCATGAGCCTCGTGTTCTACGATCCCTCCCAAGGAAGGCGTTTGTTTCCTGGGTTTCAGAGATCAGCTTTAGACCACTGAAGATTTCTCTATCTGTTCTCTTATCCTCACCTCTCTTATTATATTTCAGTTTCATACTCCAGATTTCAGTAACGAGTTTTCTATTCAAATGCTCTCTTTTTACTTCAACTACCACATTACATGTCTAAAATCAAACTTGTCTTCATTTCTCTTAAGTCAACATTACTGCCCAGTTTATCTATTCTAAATCTCTAGATTTTGAGAAAGAGAACAGGATCGCTCCATGTGCTGTCCCCACACCATTCTCATGATAACGCTGAGCGGAAGAAAGATCTACTTTTGTTTTAAAAAAAGAAACATAGTAGTGCTATTATTGTTCTATGCAAATAACTGTGTTGAACCCATTAGACCTGAACTTAAAGAAAAGCAAGCACTTTTCCTCCCCATCATTCCCATGTTGAATATTTGCCCTAGAGTACCAATCACTCAGGTTCAAAATCAGAGAGCCAATTTTTATTGCATTCTCTCCTTTACCCATGTTACCAAACCCTTCTGAACCAGAAGCAGCATTTTGGAAAATAGTGATTGAGACGTATTGCCTCAGTAAACAAGACATTTAGCTCAATAAGATAACAGATGATTCTGAGCATTTACAACAGGCTAGGCATTTTTTTTAGTGCATCATATGTATTGATGTATTTAATCCTCACAATAATCCTACAAGGTAGGTACTCTCTTTACTTTCATTTTGTGGATAAGAAAGCAGGTGTGGAGACCCTCAAGAACTAGAGCTTGGTCCAGGAGTAGAAACATGGCTGCATACTGAATATATATTTCTTGGAGAGTCAAAGAGAGTTATGGGCTTGGGGTAAGTAACACCAAGGTAATGGACAGTGGGGACCAACTTGAAGCACTGGGGTTCTACATAAAGCAACAGCATTAAGGTTCTAAATAGTCTACTACCAGGTGTTGACATTAATGGGTAAGGGGAACCTCTCAGGATGATTATGGAATAAGCCTGTTGTTGAACCTGCGCTGAATTTGTTGGGAAGAAGTTGAAAGGAAGGAATAGTTAGATAACAAATGAGCAGAGTGCTTGCGGATACAATTCAGATGTCTACAGAGTTGACCAAAGATACAGACTGAGGTCTCAATGACTTGAGAAAAGGCATTCCACTGAGATCAGGTGGGCCTTCAGCCTGATCGCTAACCAGAAGTTGCCTCCTGGTTTTGAAAAGATTCTCTGTTTTTCTTCCTAGGCCTTTCGGACATCGAGTCATCCCAAGGAATTTCATTGAACTGGCTTTGTAAACATCTTGATTATGGATTCTCTTCCCCAAATTAAATATGTTTTAACCCTTCCAGATACCAACTTTAAGCACAGACTTGATGAAAAAGCTAGGGGACAAATAGAGTTGCAGTAAGATTCCCAAGTTTCTATGAAGCATGAAACTTAAGCGTGAAATCACTTCTGAGGCTGTTTCTCTGTGAGCTGCTCCACCCTGATGGACCTTATGGTTACTGAGAACCCTCTGTGCATGCAGGTGTGTGTGTGTGTGTGTGTGTGAGGGGGGGAGAGAGAGAGAGAGAGAGAGGGAGACACAGGGAGAGGGGGAGAGGGAGAGAGAATGAATGAGAGACTGGTCATTCAGGGCTTATGTTGCCAACACCAGGGGCCTGCGGGGAAGCCTCCCCGATCCTGTGGTAAGAAGCGGAGGCGGCAGCCTCAGCACCGCCACGTCCCCTCGGCCCACGGAGCTGCCCGGCAAATGGTCATAGTAGCCCTTCCTATCTCTAGACTCTTTCCTCTTTGATTTTCCCTCATGTATTTGGGGACCTTCTAAAACAACAGTTGATTTAAGAATAAACACTAACCATTTAAATCATTTAAAATCATTTAAAAAGATAATATTTCTTTCAAATTTCATTTGAGATAAAAATAACAAAACAAACAAGGTGGTGCCTCTAAAACCAGAAAATAGCGGGTGGCAAAACTGCATCACTAACACCTGTGGACTGAGCCTTTTTCCTGTCCCCTGGGGCCGTTGCTAACAGCTCTTTCTTTTTCAGGGTCTCATGGGGATGAAAGGTATCCTCTGCCCTTGTCCTATGACATAAATGACCAGCTTCTGCCAGCCCAGCCAGATATGAAAGGCAACCTGGCTCTAGTCCTGAAAGAGATTTCCTAAGTCTGCATTTTTCTCCTAGTCTTTAGATACAGACATTACAGGTCCATAGACTTTCTTAACCTTAAAGGAGCTACAGTGCTTATCTCACCCAACCCACTAATTTTGTGTTGAGAAAACTGAGACTCAGACAAGTGCACCTAGATTCACAGAGGAAGTTGATGGCATTGCTCTGTGAGATGAGACCTAGAGTTTTGGTTTGTGTTTTAGCAGCAGCAGGCTGGGATGCCTGGGGGAACTCCTGAGTCAAAAGCTCTCTGAGGTGCCAACATCCCTTCACCATCTTCCAACCAACACCTGCCCACTCCTGGCCCCCAGGGCCCTGCTCCGGCCTCTGCGCCTGCTGCACCTTCAGCTGCCTACCAGGCCTGCCCAGCCTTGACTTCCAGGCCAATCTTACTTTCTCTGTGCCACTTTACCTGACCCCTCTAGCTCCTATGTTCCCCTTACTTCGCCTCTGCAGCACCTTGGTTTATGTCATGCACCTTAGAACCCGAGTGGTGACATTATCTTTGCTGTGGAGGCAATTTTCAGTGAAAGGCATTTGGAGCCAAACATGAATCAGATTCTGGGTCTGCCACTTCATAGCTCTGCAGCCTCGGATAGGCTGCTCACACTCTCTGGGGCCTCAGTTTCCTCATCTGCAAAACTCTCATAACAAAATTCAGTTCACAGAAATGTTCTAATAAACCCAGAGCAACAACTGGCATGAGGTGAATAAATGTTAAGTCCTTCTACCAGCCTTAATTCCCCAAAGAGCTGCTAGGTCCTTGGAGGCCAGAGAAGTAAAACCTCAATATAACAGACTAATTCGGGCAAGGGCATATCCGTTAAAGCAGAAAGTCCGTTATATAATAAAGTAGGTTTTCCAAATGCGTATGTTAAAAAATTGACAAATCAACGTTGACCTGTTTTCACTTACGTAGACATGTTTGTGTAATTAAAATTAAGTGTGTATGAAAAATCTAATGCGACAGAAAAGTTTTCTATATGTATTTCTGTAATTTTAAATTTATACTGAATAAGTCTGGTAAATTGGCGCATTTACCAGTCACCACGAGTAAACAGATGCACATGGCGGGGGTGTGGCTTAGCCCACCTGGAACAGAGGCCTGCACTCGGCACTGGCACTGGTTCAAACTGCTGCAGGAAGTCACGCCAGGTGACAACAGAACCAATTACCTCCGGAGATGCAGTGTGACCGCGGGCTAATCATTCACCGAACGTTGCTAGCTAGCAGTGACTCTTGGATTTAAATATGTAGACTATCGCTGTAGATATGTAACATTTATTTTTGTTGGTGAAATTACTACAGTATTTTTTTCCAACTTATGGTTTCCTTGCTAAAATTTGTTAAGAATAATAGTGAATGAATAACAAAACAAAACAAAAAAATCCCTGTTAATTTAATTATAAGCAAATCTTGGTTAAAAGCATTTTAACATTAACAGGGTGTTAATTTTCACAGATGATGTATGGACTGGACACTTTGTCCATTAAATCTGAAGTCTGCAAAATTGAGGGTTTACTGTAATTCTTCTGCAACTCTCTTAGTACTTGGCACATATAGGTACTCGGGAAATTCTTGCTGGTTGATTAAAAACAAGGAGAGGGTTTGGTTTCAAGTCTAGGGGAGTTCCTTTACTGATGTCCAGAGAGGCTTCAGCCCCATCCACTTGTTTGCTTAGGACTTAATTTCCTGACCTGTCTGGCAGGCCCTTGGTGCCCATCTATTTGATACTAGTATCTAATTCTGCTATTTAAACGGAAACGAAATGTCAGGGACTCAGACTCTGCCCTCAGCAATTTGAATGAAGATAGATAAAATGCTATTTTAATTGCTTGTCATGGTCAAGCTGCCTAAATATCTGTTATTTCTGGCAATAACTTCCTTGTGGTTTTCTAAGTCTTCCCTTCTGCAGCTCCGCATGCTCTAGTCTAAGCTCTTCTGGATGCTAAGCTCAGCGCCTTCATTAGGTTCACACACACACACACACACACACACTCCAAAACCCAAACGAAAACAAAAACCAAAACCCTACACTAAGAATTTTGTGGGTTTGAATCTTCTGCTGTAGCTTTGAAGGGTCACAGGGAGCAGACTCCATTGTGGACCAGGCAGCTTTCCCCCACTGGACAGGCTCAGGCCTTTCCTTTCTCTTTCTATATCTACATCAGCAATGCCTTGCCCCTTTCTTGTACCAAACCATCTAACCGACCTCCATACTCTTGAGGGTGGGGTTAGCCTCACCTAGCATTTATTAAGGTACTATCCCAGCAAACACTGATCTCTTCCAAAGAGGAATTCTAGTAGCAGTTTCTTTAATATGATAATATTTTTCTACCTAATAAGCTACAGAAGTCCCACCTAGACTGTCAATTACTGGAAAATAGACCCCGTACCTTATGCTTTGTTTACATTCTCTGTTCCGCCTGATATAATGTAGGGCAGGGAGCACTCAGTATACATGTGATGAGCTACATTACAATAGAGGCCACAGAAAGGAGCCGGGACAAGGCTGTCATGCACCTTTTTATTAAGAATTATCAGAGTGCTGAATATAAGAAAGTCCCTGGAAGGATGCAGTGTCACCTCCTGAATGGCCCAGGGCAGAAACAGGAGGGAACAAGCAGTGACCTACTTGGGATGTGCTTGATAATAACCACATCGGACCAGGAGGAAAGTGTGTCTGTGGTGTCAGCACCACCTGCGTTCCCAT